GACTGGCTCATAAAATAAATAGTATCACTTGTAAGTAATGTACTCCCTTAAACAGCTAACTATATGACATCAAATGGTCAACAGTTACCCAGAAGCAAAGATGAGAAGGCAAGAAGAGGAAAGGAAGCAAGATCAATGGAAACATAATAAACAGAATGGAAATAATGAGAATGCTGACACATTGTAAAAATTGTAATCAATGGCATGGAACAACTTGTATAAAAATTGTTAAAGAGGAACCTAATCTGCTGTGTAAACTTTCACCTAAAACAAAATAAAATATAATTTTAAAAAACAATTAAATAAGCTTGGAAGCAGATTCTTTGCCAGCTCTCCCAGAAAGGACTGCAGCTCTGGTCAACATTTTGATTTCAGCCTTGTGAGCCTTGTGAGCAGAGAAGCCAGCAAAGCAATACCGGACTCTGGATCCACAGAGATTGTAAATCTGTGTTGTTTTCACTTGCTAAATTTGTGATAATTTGTTTTGCAGAAACAGCGAACTAATAGTCTCTCTGTCTCTCTGCCTCCAGTCACAACCTCTTCCGATCCAGCATCCAAACTGCTGCCAGAGATCTTTCTAACATTCAAACCTCATCATTCTGCTCCTTGTTTAAAAGGCTTCAATGGAAAAAAATAAGAAACTCAATGTGTGAAAAGCTGTGATACTGAACAATAAGATAACAGACTGTACATTCAAAAAAAAAAAAAATTAGCGATTCTCTATCACATTAATGATCTAAACCTTTCAGATGTCAAGAGCAGGTACCATCTATGAGGATTGCTTTATCTCCTTACACTTTTCCACCAATATCCTACCATCTAGCCATTGCAAACAGATCTTACTCTTCAAAATACTATACTGTTTTGTAGTTCTGCTTGCCTCCTGTTTACCTGTATAACAGCTACTTATTCTATTGGATTCAGCTCAAGTACCCCTTTATATGGAAAGCCTCCCTGACATCTCCCCCATCTCCTTACTGGACCAAGAGTTTTTCCTATGTTATCAAAGTCTCTGTACATTATTTTATTTTAGTACCTATCATACTATAATATTGTTAATAATTTGTAGGTTCACTCCTTTAGTTGAAGAGTGAACAGAAACTGTAACTTTCATCTCTGTGTCTCTGTATCTGACATATATTGATGATTAAAAATAAGCCTGCTCAATGAACAATTTCCTAATGATTACTAACATAAAATATTATGGAGTCAGGACTGACTAGTAGTTGTAGCCTACTAAATTTGGGTCATGAGAACTCATATTTTGTTTCTGAAAATTGGTAAGAAAAAAATTACTAGGACCACATTTTGAGTGAATTTCTATATATAAAAATGAAAAACCCTATGTATTGAAAAACTCAATAAATGATTATTAATATTCCAATAATACACTGGTTAAAAAAGGCTAATCTCATTAATTTTTAAAATGTTCCTTGAATTCAGTAAGAATAAAATACCAATGAAAATGAGCAAAGGGTATGTACATGTCATTCAGAGTAGAAAATATAAATGGATGATGAATATATTAAATGTTCATACTCATTATTAATCAAAGAAATGCTAATTAAAACAAAGAAGTTATTTTTAACTCATCAAGTTAGGAAGAAAAAAAAAAAAAACTCCTAGTCTTAGCAAAACACAGACAAAAGGACACTCATTAACTGTTAGTGGGATGTAAAATGGCATGACCTTTCTGAAGAACAACTTGGCAATATATGGAAAGGGTCTTAAAAATCTTCACTTTTTGGATCAGCAATCCCACTTAAAAGAATTTATTATAAGGAAATAGTTATAGGAAAAGAAAAAAACCTCACAAAGATTTAGCTGCAAGGATATTGCTTATAATAGCAAAATATTGGGAAGGAGCAAACTGTATGTCAAGCACTAAAGGGAATATTTGAATAAATTATAGAATATCTATAAATACAGTATTACACAGTGATAAAAATTATATTGTTGAAGAATATTTAATGGTTTGGGAAGATGATCACAATATATTGTTATATGAAAAATCTAGGTTACAAAGATACACATATTACATTTTTTGTACTTAGTCTTTGTAAAATACATACACTGCAAAAATCTGATACAGAGCTAATGGCAGTTATCTCTGTATGGTGAAAATGCTAATAATGGTTATTTTTAGAGGTTATATAATGTATTCCTCAAATCAGGACATCTCTAAGAATGAAAGGGATAGCTATTAATAGGGGAAAAGCAATATAATATGCATGGTAACTCTAGTTATTTTCACCTTTTTAATTATTATCTATATCTGTATCAGGGGTGGACAAAGTACAGCCTGTCAGCCAAATCCAGCAGCAGCCTATTCTAGTAAATAAAGTTTTATTAGAACAGTCACCAAGCTCACCACCCTCGAGTCAGATCCAACTCATAGTGACCCCTCTGTGGGTTTCCGAGGCAGTATCCCTACGGAAGTAGATTGCCCAACCTTCCTTCCGAAGAGTGGCTGGTGGGTTTGAACTGTCAGCCTTCTGGTTAGCAGTCAAATGCCTTAGGCACTATGCCACCAGAGCTCCTAGAACACAGTCACACTCATCATTTGTATATTGTCTATAGCTGTTTTCACACTACAAGGGCAGAGTTGAATAGTTGTGGCCTGCAAAGCCTAAAATACTACCTAGCCCTTTAAAGAAAGTCTGTGACCCCTAATCTGTATTATCTACAAAGCATAAATATTAACTTTAGCAATAAAAAAAATGTTATTTTTGAAAATACTGAATCTGGAAGAAATGCTATTCTTATTCCATAGTTAAAATGTCAAACACATCAGCACAACGGTAACTACCTTAAACAAAGAAACTCCTGCCAGAGTCTACTAAAGACAGCAAAGAGATGAAGTCATTGTACTGGTCAGAATATATTATTGTATTAATTGCCTCCTGAAAAGCTCTAGAGATGATGAGACTTAAAACTGCTTGATTTTTCAATTTACTTAAATAAAAAACAGATCTATATAGCACATACAATAGTATTCCCACAGAATGCCTTAAGGAAAACAAGTACTAAAACATTAAGTATTATTTTAAAAAATAAAAATCAGAAAAAACACAAAACACACAAAAATCTGACTCCCATTGCCTAGCGGTGAATTACATAAAAGGTAAACAATACTAAAATGAATTAACACGTGCCTACTGTCAGCTAAATGCAATACACAATATAGGCCGTTACTGGGCCTATATGAGATCCATTCTTAACTATGTCTTAGGTCTTTCCGTGGAAATGTGTAGGTCAGTCGGAACTGGTGCATACAGTTCTTATTTAGTTTAGTTTAGTCAAAGTCTGTATAGTGATTTAAAAGTTGCACGTGAAGCAAGTGAAGGTGATTGTGATGAAGAATGTGTTGCAAATAGGATTGGTTCAATTATTTTAAAATAAGGGCAAGTTTCCTTAACATTATAGAGCAAGTAGGAGTTGTCCTTAAGTTCAACTTTCTTAACCTGGAGACTGCCAGTATAAACACTGTTTTTGGTCCAATGTAATGGAGAAAATATAAAATAACAGACATAAAAATTAAGCGACCAGTTGCCAAATCTGTAAAAGCTGCTTTCCAGATTTTTTTGTGAATGTTTTCACTTATTAACTAATAGGCAAATCAGATGACTGGTTAAACCTCTCTTTAAATAAGCTTGTAGATACAAGTCTGAATCCTGCTTGCTCTCCATTCAAATATTTTTATATCATTAGAAAGAGCTCTGGTGGCAAGGTACCTAAGGTATCTGACTACTAACCAGAAGGCTGGCGGTTCAAACACACCAGCCACTCCTCGGAAGCAAGATGGGGCAATCTACTTCTGTTGAGATACTACCTCAGAAATCCAGGGAAGGATTGTCATGAGTCAAATTGATTCAATGGCAGTGAGCTTGGTTTGTTTTTGGTTTAGTGAGGAATCTAACGTAGATTTTGCTGTTGCAAGTACTCCTCACAAAGTAAGGAGCCTTACTGGCACACTGGTTAAAACACTCAGCTGCTAACCAAAAGGCGGGTGGTTGGAACCCACCAGCTGCTCCGAGGGAGACCGATGGATGAGGCAGTCTGCTTTCATAAAGATTTACAGTCTCAGAAACCCTATGGGTCAGTTCTACTCTGTCCTACAGGGTCATTATGAGGCCGAATCAGCTCAATGGCATTGGGTTTGGTTTAGTTTTTTGGAAGTATTTTGCCTTAAGCCTAAAAAGACATCACTCACAAAGTTTTAAAAATTATGAATCCACAACTACCACTTTATGTTAAGTTATTTATAGTATATCCTAGAAAAAGAAACTTGGTAACTTAATTCAAGCTCTTTTATTTGGAAAAATGATCTACTTCTCCTAAAATGCTGATGAAAACCTGGGACACACACATAGAAATGATACCATCCTTTAAAAGGGGTACACTGATCACCCCAAAATAAAATCTAGTAAGAAAAAATGCTTTGTGAATTGAACCCTCCATAACTAGATTTGTAATTCACTCATAATGGCATCACTGTTACACAGATGAAATCTATTCTAGACTCTGGCTATCAGTAATTATCTGATTTGGATAAGCCCCTAAATCATGTGGGAGCTCTGGTGGCATAGTGCATAAGGCATTTGACTGCTAACCAGAAGGCTGGCAGTTCAACCCATCAGCCACTCCTCGGAAGAAAGGGTGGGCAATCTACTTCCGTAGTGATATTGCCTCGGAAACCCAAGGAGGAGTTGCTATGAGTCAGATCTGACTCCATGGCAGTGGTTGCATTTGCTAAATCATGTTGAGCTTTTATCATTATATTATTAACATAATATATAATAATAATACATAAATAATATTATCTAAAAAGAAGAGGTTGAAACAGTTAAACTCAAAGAATCTGCATTTTTGTGATTCTATGAAAATGAACATTTTTCCTTTGAAGTATAGTTCTCTAAATCCTCTGCCATATAACCTTCAAATTCTTCCAATCTATACAAGTAAGATGCATTTTTTAAAATGTCACTTGAAGTTAATACCTGTTTGTAACCATAAAGACTGTCTTCTTGTTTCCAGGAATAGCACAGTGGTATCTGTAAGTCTCCTCTTCTAACTTTTTGACATGACTCTGAAAAGGAAACAAGACTTAAGATTTGGCAAGTACATGAATCCAAATAGTATTTCCAATACTGTATGTAAGCTAATTGTAATAAAAATACCAATTAGGAAAAATTTTATTATAAACAAAAGTACAATTCTACATATTGATACATGACACTAGAAAAATATTCATAACATGTTAATAAAATAATTTTCATTGTTGCCTTCAAGGACAAATATGTATTAAATGCTTACCAAGTGATTTTCCAGGTAAAATAAATTTTGTTCTATAATAACTTACGAATACTTAAAAAAATATCTGTCAGAAATCATCATACATTTTCATTAATGAGAGTATGAATATATACTAATATAAAACTGATACATTTTCATAAGCTAGGACACATGAAAGACCACTGGAGCAGGGATCTATGAGCCCCATGCAATAGAATATACAATTTTGAAAATGTGGTTCTGCAACTTTTTTCAGGCAGGGTTCATCTTTTTTATCAGCTTTTTTGAAGGGATTTATGATCCCTCTCAGGAGCTCTGGTGATATAGTGATTAATGCATGCAGCTGCTAACCAGTCAGTGGTCTGAACCCATTAGCCCCTCCACAGAAGAAAGAGGAGGGAGCCTGCTTACACAAAAATTTACAGCCTTGGAAACCCTATGGGTCAGTTCTACTCTGTCCTAAAGGGTCACTATGACTTGGAATCAACTTGATGGCAGTGGGTTTGTGGATTTATGATCCCTCTCTCAAAGGTAAGAGCCACTGACTTACATAGAGGTACATATTACACATGTACCACAAACCCAAGGTAACTGATATTTAATGGTTTTTGAATACTTGGTTTTATAGATTAAACATGCATGAGAAATACATTTATGTATAAAATTATATTTCTGATAGAAAAGAAAATGTAATGATAGTATTAAGGTGAACATGAAGAATTTCCAGGATTTCAAAATACCTGGCAGTATTCATTGCTAAAGACAATACAAGCATCAAATAATTCAAATATAAAGAGTAGCACATTAAAATTCATTTATTTTCCTTTTCAACTATGTCAAAACTGTTGTTACTTGAACTAGTCAACACATTTACATGAAAAACCAAAAAATTATCATTTTTATAATGAATGCTAATAAAATATTATATTGACATTATCTCTGTAATGCATGACTGCAGATCAGAGGAGGTAATATATATGAAAAGACATATATAAACATACCTAACAAATAAAACCTTAACATTTTACAACCAAGAATACAACACCAATATTATTAAAAAGATAATATAATCACAAGCAGAGAAAGCACAATAATGTGTTATCTCAATGCCTAAATACACTTGGCCCCACTCACTCCTTTAGAATTACAAAGAGTCATCAACAAGAAAGATGAGTTGCCAGAGAAGAACTGAGGTCTCATCTTCAGAATGAATATCAGGAAGTAGAGTTTTCATAGCAATAGTCACTTGTTTCACACCTTGGTTGTACGAATTAGATAAAATCCTTTAAAATCTATGCCTTAATTTCTTCAAAGAAACAATGGGAAATAAATACAATAATTTAGTGGACTTATTTTCATCTTTGAAATTGTAAAATGTTAAAATACTTAGATTTGTGAATCAATGTAGGAAAAATACTACCCCTCTCCCTCTTGTATGCATTTCTACTAGTTTTATCAGGGTACTGCACATCAAACCAGGGCTTCGAACCAGCTCTTCCCGGTTCTGTCATAGACAAGGAAGCAAAACAGGAACAGACTCGAATTTTTAAAATTTGGGTAAAACACAACAGTAACCAGAACAGGAAGAATTGTAGGTTGATGCCCTGCTACAAATTTAATCTCCCTCTTAGAAAACAATGGCAGCATGTCCATTACATAGCAAACAAATTTCTTGCCAGTAGGATTTTGAGCTGTAGGAAACAGCAGTGCTACACTCAAATATGGTAGCTGACCACACTGCTTTGAATGTGCGTTGCTCTCCACATGCTGCCCATAACCCAGTCTCCCTCATCAGGCTCCTGAAAGGGCTCACTACACTTCTTCCAAGTCTCCCATTACAATGCTTTGTCCCATCATTTTTCACATTTCAAATCACCCAAATTTTAAAAACTCAGTTTCTTCCAGTTTCATTTTGTCAGCCATCAGTGAACTGAGATGAACCAGTTGAAAGCCCTGTTTCAAACATTAAGATAATTTATCACCGTAACACACTATAGAAAACTTTGTTTTCAGCACTACACTCTGAGATTCAGGTTAAGATACTCAGTCACTGATGGCAGCAGAATAGTCAACCAGAGTAGTTACTCAGTTATTCACTGTTCTTTACCAAAATGCAAGTTTAGGAATTTGACAATATTTAGGAAAAGCTCTTAACTCAGTAATTCCACTTTTTCAAATAAATTCTAATAATACGAGATATTGAAAAGGAGGATGTATAATGATGTTTATCATGTTAGTAAATTAACAGCAACAACTTTAATGCTAACAATGGGGAACAAATACACAAATAAGGTTATCTCAATAGACAGTAATGAACCACTTCAAAGAACATGGGGAAAATAAAATGGTTTTATATTAAAAGTTAGAAACACCATTTAAAATATATATGATCACAGGTAGGCAAACAAAAAATGAATGTTAAATAAAAACTGACAGTATATGTATTAAAATGTAAAGAGTAATTATCCTAGGAGAAGAGAGGATATAACAGAAAAAGTATATCCTATGAAAATAGAGCATACGATTTCATAATTGTCAAAGCTGAGTAGTAAATTAAAGAACACAGAAGAACACTATGGGGCAAAAAAAGGGATCAAAACATCCCCAAATAAATTTAGAATGTGGTCATATTAAAGTAGGGCTAGGCAGACACAATTTTATACTCCAGTGCTTTTTAACATTTACTACATATTTTATTATACTTGGTCCCTTAAGGATAGAAGTCTTTTTTTTGGTATATTCAATACAGTATAGATAATAAATATTTGTTACCCAACTAACTAATCACAGCAAGATTGGTAATGGATGAAATAGCTTAAGTTCTTAATCATTCATGTGTAATCTTGCTACCCATAGAAAAAATAATTAAATGCTCTCATTAATGTACAATCATTCTATTTCTTCCAGTGATTAGAATAATGTAAGTTTAAAAGGTTGTATAATATCTTCACAAAGACTAATAAACCAGATGAGATGACTATAGACTTTGCTAAAATAGTAAAATGCTCCTTGCAGTTTTGTCCTTTTTGACATGCAGTTTTTTAAAAAGAAAATCATAGGGGAAAAGTTACTAACATAAAAAGCTAAACAAATAAAATAAGTAAACGATAAGAAAATTTTAACAAGTTATAGGCATTTTCAAAAGTAAAGTCTCATTAAAATCACAATATACCCAGGAAAATTAAAAATCATTACTTTTACCTAAGAAGGAAGGGTAATTATTAGTGATGATTTAAGACAGCATCTTTAAGTTACTGTGCTTGATTCTCAGAGAAAACAGTATACATGTGGTGACATTTTTGCCAAGCCTCAATTATCTAGGCACAAGAAAAGTTTGTCAGCTACAGTTTTAGACTGATCTTTGAACGTCATTCTTGGTTCTTTAAGTGCTACTTTGAATATGTAGTATTCAATTTACTCTTAATAACTACAGTTTTAAATATAATACAACTGAAGAGTTGTATGCTAATAGTTTCTCTTCAGAAGTATAAAACACTAAATTTGAGTTTATATTTTGGTTTCAATTTTGGGGGAAAGCATTAAAGTTGCTAGAAAAAATACTGCTAACTCAAATATAACACTTCTCATCCATAAAAAAATCACAATATAATGTATCATTTTGAAAATCAACTATGAGAGCATTAATTTCAAAATGATAATTTATAATAAATTTTTTTCTCATTAAGATAATGAATCCTTTGTAAGGACTTAAAAGCAAAATAAATAAATAAATAAAAACATCCAAATATGCAAGTGTCACATAAGTAATTTGCCTAATTACAAGTTCAACTTTATTTACATTAATCAAAACTAACAACTATGAAATAAGCATAATCAACAAGGAGATTCAATTTTTGAAAAGCATAAATGTTAAAGGTTGGTGATGTATATAACAATTATAAAATGGTTGTCATTTATTTAGCAAGAGGACTGAGTGGTTAAAAAAATAAAGATTGAAGGAACATATCCTCAGAATTCATGTGCCAATTCTTATTTGAGGTCTAATGACAGACCCAAAGCAGCTGGTATTTCAATTATTAAAACATATGCCCCAGTTAACAGTCTCATAACTTTTGTAAATTTAAGGTGATTTATGAAACATAAAGCTATGTAATTCCATCATTAAGACTCACAAACATAAGGACACCATCACTAGAATGGGCATAAGTATTGTCCTTTTTTACAACTTTACCTGAAATGCACATGAATACCATAAGAAAATATAAATATTTCAAAATAATAACAAAAGTCTCTGCTTCTAGAGTAAAAGTCTTTCACCTACTAAATGGAGAAGAGAGTTGATTTCCTGCATCCTTTAATCTTTTATATTGATTTCTTATTCCTGTGCAGTATTACCAGGAATGCCATCATTTCTATTCACAGCCGAGCCACTACTATAGAAGATTCAGATGAAGGTGAGAGTTGTAAAAAAAAAATTTCATTAAAATTGACCCTCAATCTAAATAATTCAAAGACAGTCAATTAATACCACAGTTTTTTTAGATTTTTAAGGATGAAATCAAGTAGTGGTATAGGAAACATTTACTCCTGTATTTCCAGTTCTTGCTGTGTAGGCAGAAAAAGAAAGAAAATAAAGTTAGAAGCATGCATAAAGATAAAATGTAATCACATATAATAAAAACCAAAGGCTAAAAAACAACGAAGAATCATTCTATTTTAAAATCAAAGCAGGAAAATATTAAAAAAACTTCTTTTAGGTCAAGCCACTCAGGGGAGAACAGTTTATATACATACACATACTATTTAAATGCAGTACAGTTAAAACTAAAATAAAAGCGAAAAACAAATTTTCTAAAGATTTTAAAAGATTATAATTACATATAATCTTTTTTCTCTCCTCCAATTTCTGTTTACCTGAACAAATCTAGATTTACAGAGTAGTCCAAATAAATTAATTTGGTTCAGAGAAAAGGGAGCAGTGAAACTCCAACAATTAGCTACAAAGCAGAAGACCAAAGTTAACAACATTCAGTAATGAGCTACCACAAAAATAGTGATATAGTATACAGTTTCTTTTAGATTATCCTTTTGGAACAAAAAAGCATTGCTCTTGTGCAGAATAAATTTATCAGTTATTCTCATTTACTATATTACACTAAAATTAAAAAAATAACAATAAAATTCTACTCTACAAACCATGTTCCCCGTGTCATCCTCAAAGAAGTTCGTGAATTAGACACTTTAAGAAACCACCCATAAAATCCTGGTCATGATCATAAAGAATAAAATTTACCTCAAACAAGTCATAGCCCTCAGATTCCTGTCTGTCATATGGCCGAATGATGCCATCTTCATGAATCAGGCGAGGGGGACGGAGTCTGGACACTTCCTCAGTTGATTCTGCTGCCCTATTTAAGGCAGAATATAAGAAAATTTGTGAGACTCCTTCAAAATTATGTAAATATGTGTGCTGGAAACACTGTATTACATCCCATATTACATCAGTATGTGATAAAGCAATCAAAATAATTAAATAACTTGCCCAAAGGAACGCAAGAATATTAAAACCAAGTATATCTGACTCCCAGCCCCTCCCCCTCCTTTTTTCTTTTTTTAAATTTAAGAAAAGAAAATGTAAAAAAAAAATAAAGGCAGAAACTAAGTTGTCTATTCTCTATTCTTTGCATCTTTTGTACAGTGCCTGACATATAGTAGGTAACAGTAAAAGTAGTCATAAAAACCTGACAAATTTGTCATAGCTTTCAATTCGTTTGTAAGATCCTTAATAGTAGGCAAAATATCTAATCTACTAATTTATGTATCTGCAACAACAATTAGCACACAATATGTTCTCAATTACCTCTGAATTCCTTGGAAGGTGCTGCTGGCCATGTCTATAATGCCACCAGTTGGACGAGCCACAACACCTACAAGCCCTTTTCCAATTCCTTTAAAGAATCCAGCAGCTCCTTCCTTTTTGGCACCTTCAGGAAACCAAAGACAATGAGTAAATAAAGATACATTTTAAAATAAGCAAGTATGAACGCAACAAAAACCAGAGCCAAAGACTGAACTATTTTACCTAGGAAGCTTCTACTGTCTGGCATTCTAAAGAAGTTAAATTTAATCCTAATAGGGTAAAATAAAGGACCTTGGGCAGCATAGTGCCTAAGGCATTTTGGCTGCTAACCAGAAGTCTCGCAGTTCAAACCCACCAGCCACTCCTCAGAAGGAAGGTTGGGCAATCTACTTCCGTAGTGATACCGCCTCAGAAACCCAAGGAGGGGCCGCTATGAGTCGGATCCAACTCTACAACAGTGAGTTTGGCTTTGGTTTAAGTATCACTGTCTGATAAACTGGAGCTCTGGTAGCACAGTGCCTAAGGCATTTGACTACTAACCAGAAGGCTGGCAGTTCAAACCCACCAGCCACTCCTTAGAAGGAAGGTTGGAAGATCTATTTCCATAGTGATACCATCTCGGAAACCCAAGGAGGAGTCACTATAAGTCGCGGAGTGAGTTTGGCTTTTCAGAAGAAAGATTGGGCAATCTACTTCCATAGTGATACTGCTTTGGAAACCCAAGGAGGGGTCGCTATGAGTCAGATCCAACTCGACAGCAGTGAGTATAGTGAGTATAGTAAAATAAAGGAGCTCTGGTGGCATAGTGCCTAAGGCATCAGACTGCTAACCAGAAGGCTGGCGGTTCAAACCCACCAGCCACTCCTCAGAAGGAAGATGGAGCAATCTACTTCCGTAGTGATATTGCCTAGGAAACCCAAGGAGGGGTCACTATGAGTTGGGTCCGACTTGACGGCACATAACAACAACATATAGTGAAATAGTAGCTCTTGAAGTATGGTCCCTATTAGAAATGCAAACTCTTGGACTCTACCCCAGACCTACTGAGTCAGAAACTCTATGGATGGACCCAGCAACTGTGTTTTATCAAACACCCCAGGTAATCCTAAAGTGTGCTCAAGTTTTTGAACTACTGATTTAGGTGTATAGTTAGTACCTGTGACTAGAAGTATATAAATTACATAGTTTTTAGTATATCCACAGTATTTACAGCCATCACCATAATCAATTTTAGAAAATGTTCATCCCCTAAAAAAGACAACATGTGCCCATTAGCAGTCTCACTCCTCCTTTCTCTCTAATCCCTCACTACTCCAGTCCTAGGCAACTAACTGCCCTCATCCCATCTTCCTTCTGCCTACTTTCTGATACTAAGGACTTGCCTATTCTGGACATTTTATACAAATGGAATTATACAATACAGGATAAGCTTTTGAGATTGGCTTTTTTTTTAACTTAGCATATTTTTAAGGTTCACCCATTTTGTAAAACGTATCAGTACTTCATTTCCTATTTATGGCTAAATAATATTCCATTGGATGAATAAATAACATTTTGCTCATCAATAGATGGGTACTTGAGCTGTTTCTATTTTTTTTGGATATTTTGAATAATACTGCTATGAATATTCATGTACACATTTTTGTGTGAATACATGTTTTCAGTTCAATAGGAAAAATACCCAGTGGAATTCCTGGGAAATATGGCAACTTTATAAACTTTTTGAAGATTCACTGTTTTCCAAAGTGGATGTACCATTTTACACTCTCATCAGCGGTGTATAAGTTTTACCGGATCCTCTTCAACACCCATTTCAACATCCTTGTTGTTGTTAAATGCTGTGCAGTTAGTTCCAACTCACAGCAGAATGAAACACTGCCCAGTCCTGCATCATACTCAAAATCATTGCTATGTTTGAGCCCACCGTTGCAGTCACTGTGTCAATCCACCTCACTGAAGGGGCTTCCTCTTTTTCACTGACCCTCTACTTTATCAAATATGATGTCCTTCTCCAGGGACAGGTCCCTCCTGATAACATATCCAAAACACATGAGAAGAGATCTAGCCATCCTCACTCCTAAGTAGCATTGTGCGCACTTTTTCAAAGACAGATTTGTAATCAATGGTATATTCAATATTCTTCACAAACATCTTAACTCAAAGTCATCAATTCTTCTATCTTCCTTATTCACTGTCCAGCTATGCATGCATAGGATATGATTAAAAACAGGATGGCTTGAGTCAGGTACAACTTAAAAGTAACATCTTTGTTTGCTTTGTTTTTAAACATTTTAAAGAGTTCTTTTGCAGCAGATTTTCTCAATGCACATTGTTTGATTTCTTGACTGCTGCTTCCGCGAGTGATGACTGTGGATCTAAGTAAATGGAAATCCTTGACAACTTCAATCTTTTCTCTGTTTACCATGATGTCTCTAATTGGTCCAGTTGTCAGAATATTTGTTTTCTTCATGTGGAGATGTAATCCATACTGAAAGCTATGTAAATGCTTCAAGTCTTCAGCTTCAGCAACCAAGTTTGTGTTATCTGCATATCACAGGTTGTTAATGAGTCTTCCTCCAATCCTGATACCAAATTGTTTTCAAATACTCCAGCTTCTCGGATTATTTGCTCAGAATACAGATTGAATGAAAGCACACAAGCCTAATGCACACCTTCCCTAATTTCAAACCACACAGCATCTTCTCGTTCTGTTTGAACAACTGCCTCTTAGTCTACATACAGGTTCCTCATGAACACAGTTAAGTATTATACAATTCCCATTCTTCACATTTTATCCACAATTTGTTATGATGCACACAAATGCCTTTGCATAGTCAATAAAACACAAGTAAACATCTCTCTGGTATTCTCTGCTGTTAGGCAAGATCCACCTGATATCAGCAATGATATTCCCTCATTCCATGTCCTCTTCCTAATTCTGTTTGAGTTTTTGGCAGTTCCCTGTTGATGTACTGTGGCAATCATTTTTTAATTATCTTCAGCAAAATTTTTCTTGTGTGTAATATTAATAATTTCTGTATTCTGTTGGATCACTTTTATGGAATGGGCATGAATATGGATCTCTTACAGTCAGTTGGCCAGGTAGCTTTCTTCTAAACTTCCTGGCATAGATGAGTGATCACCTCTAGCACTGTATCTGTTCGTTGAAACATGTCAGTTGGTGTTCTATCAATTTCTGGAGCCTTGTTTTTTGTCAATACTTTCAGTACAACTTCAACTTCTTCCTTTACTACCATTGGTTCTTGCTCATGTTTTGCCTCCTACAATGGTTGAACATCAATCAATTCTTTTTGCTACTGACTCTGTATATTCCTTCTTTTGATGTTTCCTGCATTGTTCAACATATTGACCATAGAGTCTTTCAATACTGCACTCAAGCTTGAAGTTTTTCTTTAGCTCTTGCAGCTTGAGAAATGTCAAGCATATTCTTCCCTTTTTTACATTTCATTATATACTTGTCTTCTTGAGCTGCCCTTTGAAATTTTCTGTTTAGGTTTTTTACTTTACCATTTCTTCCATTTGCTTTAGTTACTCTATGTTCAAAAGCAACTTTCAGTCTCTTCTGACATCTACTTTGGTATTTTCTTTCTTTCCTATCTTTTTAATCACCTTTTTCTTTCTTCAAGTATGATGTTCTTGATCTCATCCCACAACGTGTCTGGTCTTCAGTCGTTAGTGTTCAGTGTCTAAAATCTATTCTTGAGATGGTTTCTGAATTAAGGTGGATATACTCAAAGTTGTACTTTGACTCTCATGAACTTGTCTTTAATTTTCTTCAGCTTCACCTTGAACTTGCATATGAACAACTGATGGTCTGTTCCACAGTGAGCCCTAGCCTTGTTCTGACTGATGATATTGAGCTCCTCCATTGTCTCTTTCCACAGATGTAATTTATTTGATTCCTGTGTATTCCATCTGGTGAGGTTTGAAAAGGTAATTGTAACGAATAAGTCATTGGTCTTGCAAAATTCTATCATGTGCTCTCCAGTGTTATTCTACCTCCAAGATCATATTTTCCAACTACTAGTCCTTCTTTGATTCCAACCTTAGCATTCTAATCACCAGTAATTATCAATGCATCTGATTGCATGTTTTGATCAATTTCTCACTGCAGAAATTGGTAAAAATCTTCAATTTCTTTGTTTTTAGCATTAGTGGTTGGTACATTAATTTGGAATAGTAGACATATTAACCAGTCTTCCTTGTAGGTATATTGATATTATCCTATTACTGATAGCGTTGTACTTCAGGATATGTACTTTTAGTTTCATATCTAGGAAGACTCTGGCTAACCCAAGGTCATGAAGACTTACTCTTATATTTCCTTCTAAAAAGTTTGTATTTTTAGCCCTTACATTTAGGTTTATTATTCATTTAGAGTTAATTTTTTGGGATTAGTGTGAGGAGGTAATATAACTTCATTCTTTTACATGCGGGCATCCAGTTATCCCTGCATCATTTCCTTATTGAATTGTCTTGGCATCAACTGACTGGAATATGTGAGGGTTTATTTTTGTACCCTATTCCACTAAGCCATATGTCATACCAGTACCATACTATCTTAATTACTGTAGCTTTGTAGTATGTTTTGAAAGTGGGAAGAGTGAGTGCACCTATTTTGTTCTTTTTCAAGATTTTTTGTCTACTCTGGGGTATCTTGAATTTCTATATAAATTTTAGAATCAGCTTATAAATTTCTGCAAAGGAGATAACTAGGATTTGGCTAGGGATTGTATTGAATGAGCAGTGTGCTTTTTAAACAGGATAAAAATGAAATAATTGCTAGTGAGGGCCTAAAAGAATCTAGTTCATTTCTACAGCCCTGCTGAAAATAGCCTTCAAAGTCCAAATCATGATTTACTACATAATCTCTCTGCTTTCTGAGGAAAGTGTATTCATTAAGCCATAATTTGAGACCATGAATATAAAATTTACTCAGTAATTCTAGTAGCAGTGACACCTATTATGTTGATCATGCATCAAACCTTCAGACTTGCACAGAAAGGAAATAGTCTCAGCCTACCTTCCACAGGTTTTGTTATTATTCCAGTCACTCCCCCAACAACTCCCTGGAAGAGAAATCAATCATAAAGCCTGAGGAGAAAGCACTTAATTTTAAACTAACCACTAGAGGTCTCTGCATACATACTAAAAATTAAGAGGGAAAAAAAATCAAGAACTTATTTCTTAATATGAACAACATGTACTGTGATTTTTTAAAAATTATATCATAGCACATTTTAAATGAGATCACCTTGTAGGAGTAAAATTTTATACTGGAAAGAACAATAAAAACAGGTGAAAAGATTCTAAATTTGGCTCTGGCACCATGGAACTTGATTCAGTTTCTTTAAACTTTGGTTTCCACATCAAAAAAAAAAGTGAGTTAAGTCAAATAATCACTAAAATTTAATTACAAATTTTAATGGAGTTACTGTATAACTTGGTGAGAGTGTGGAAAGTGAGAATGAAGGATCCTCCCAACGACATGAAATTACCTGATAAATAAAGAACTTTGGAGGATATGAGACACAACATTACAAATCACTGCCATAAACTCAACAGCTAGTTTTCTGAAATTGTGTGCAAAATTAATACATTAATATGTTTATACATTCTTAATAATTGTCAAGTAATGGTAGTTAGTATGGCTACTTATATATATATCATATAAATGTGAAGAAAGAGAATCGAAAGATGCACACTGAATTGAAAAGATTAAATATCTCTGGAAAGAGATGGATGGATGATCAAACAGTATTCTAGACCTGCCTATAATTTTTAAATTACTTATAAGGAGAACAGTATTCATACATTACCTGTATAATTTTTAAAGTATTGAAAAGTAATGAAAGACAGTGCCTAGTTTGTCAACACATAACTTCTACACATCCCTTCCATAAGAATGGTCTACTGGGGATGACCTCTAGCTACCATTATTTACCATACTTCTCTGCTTCCTACTACTTCTCCTTGTACACTAGTGTTAACTTGCCATCATTACAATCTCTCTCCAGTCCAACTGCTAAACCAAACTTTGGAAACAGATTCGGTGGTAAAAATTGGGAAGGGGAGCAAAAAAGTTAACAGGAAAGCCCACAATTAATCACTAGTGGTACTCTAATAGACCTAGACTCACAAGTAGTATTTCAAATTTCAAACAACCAGCTAGAGTATATATTCTAAAACATATAAAAGTTGAGAAATTCTTGAAGATTCAGCATGAGACTTACTCTCAGGAAGCCCTTTCCCCCTCTGGCCAGGCTGTCACCAAAATCTTTAGGCTGTCGACCCATCTCTTCTCTTCTTTTCTGCTGATACTCCTTGTCCATTGTAATTGCTGCCAAACCTTTTCCAACAGAACCAGTGATTCGAGAGACAACTCCTGCTGCACCACCTATCCAAAGGCCCAGATAAGTTATGCCACATTGTTTCCTTAAAAAGGGTTATCACAATGCACAATATGCAATTGCTTTAAACCAATATTGCTATTGCTGTTGTTGGGTGCACAGAGTCGATTCTGAGTCACTGTGACCTAATATGACAAGAGTAGACTGCTCCCATAGAATTTTCTTGGCTGTAATCTTGGAAGGTTGGGCAATCCTACTTCCGTAGTGATACTGCCTCGGAAACCCAAGAAGGGGTCGCTATGAGTGGGGCCGACTCGATGGCAAATAACAACAACAACAACAACAACAACAATCTTTATAGAAGCAGACAGCCTGGTCTTTCTTCCACAGAGTGCTGGGCAGGTTTGAACAGCCAACTTTGCTGTTAGACGAGCACTTAACTGTTGTGTCACCAGGACATTTTGCTTTAAACTTAATATATGTTTAAAATTGTCTCATACACAAAAATCATGTGATTTATAGAAGCTCTGATAGCATAGTGCCTAAGGCATTTGACCGTTAACCAGAAGGCTGGCAGCCACTCCTCGGAAGGAAGGTTGGGCGATCTACTTCCATAATAATACTGCCTTGGAAACCCAAGGAGGGGCCGCTATCAGTCAGGTCTGACTCGACGGCACATAACAACAACAACAATTTCACGTTTATAAAGAAGAATAATGAAATTATTTAAAGAGCGTTGATTCAACACTACTAAGACATACCAAAAAACTAGCAAGGGCTCAGTGTTAAATTATTTTCCACTTAAAAAGAAGAGAACACATCTTTTACAAGAGTTATAAAATTTATCATTCTATTATTAAAAATATAAACATTCACTTTTTATTTGTAATAACTGTAATGAAAAAAATATATATATACATATACACAAATAAGTGATACGAACCTACTGTGTGTCCAAAGAGACTTCTTACTCCAATCACTAACCCCTCAGCAAATTCTTCAGGAACATGAACATAACCATAGAAATAGCCCACGCAAAAAAAAAAAAAAAAAAAAAAAAATTAAGAAGTTTGCTATTTACAGTTTAAATAAATAAAAGACTTTTAATCTAATATGTCAGGGTTTCCAGGTAGACCAAGAATCTGTAAAAATCTAGTAACATTGTGGTAACATAATTTTTACCCTCTACCACAAAATACTTACGGAATACCTATCTATAATATCTGAACACATTTTTTAACTCATATGATCTCAGCATATTCTATAAGAAGTTGGAAAAAGAAAACAAAAAGGAGAAAATCACTGGCTTCAGTCACAATTTGAAGTTGACCTTCCAGCACTAAGTTTCACCAGACTTGTAAATTAAACCACACTGGTAGCAAGGCTGAGAATACAAGGTCAGCCTGGTATTTTTGGTACTCTTACTTTCCCATTTATTCTCTCTGCTTTGCCCTTCTAAAACCTGTACCACTTTGGGATACTGTACCCTTTAAATAGAGGTGAATATTTAAAGCTAAATTAAAGCTTCAATATGAAATAAAGTCAGTCATCTTTTAATGCCCCATTAATCCTTTCCATGAAATAGTCTTCCAGTTGTCTTACTCTGTCTTGCTCCCAAATATCCTTACATGTACACTAAATCCTGAGAATTGTGGATACGTTTTATGGCCCAGATAGCTCAATTAATTCTAAAACTATCTTTCAGTGTCATTTCAAGACCTTTTAAATAAAAATATAAAAATTATATATTTTTGTTATTTGACTATTATTTAATTACCAGATATAATTAATATATAAATTATTATTAGCCTGTAAAGAAATTTAAAAAAACCCATCTTTCTATATTTATAGTTAAAAAATAAAAAAGAATACCTGGAAGGGTTCGTAAAATAAAGCTTCAACTCCTTCAGACAGACCTCTAATTAATCCAAATGGGTTTCCAAGCACATCTAAACCCAACACAAGGACATACATCTGTTTCAAGAACTAAAAGAAAGAAAAAAAATAAATTACGTCTTTTGCTACTGTTCTAAGATACAATAAGGATAAAAAAAAGATGGAGGGTTGATTATTGATTTAATTAGGTATATGTTAAAGGAAAGCAGTGTGGAATAACCACTACCATGGTTAAGGCATCTGGCTGCTAACTAGGAGGTTGCTGGTCAAACCCACTAGCCACTCTACAGAAGATAGATGAGGTGGTTAGCTCCATAAAGGTTTACAGCCTTGGAAACTCTGTAGGGTTTGCTATGAGTCAGAATAGATTCAACAGCAGTGAGTTTGGTTTTTGGTTTGGTTACATGCCAAGCATGATGCTAGTACTTTACTTGAGTTTGAGGTACAGCTCTGCTATTTATCAGTTATGTGATCTTCAAAAAGTCACGTAAGCTCTATAGGCCTGTGTTTTCTCATCTATAAAATAGGAGCTTACACTGATTTTGTATGACTGATTATGCACATTAAGTATATAGTTCAAAATTGTTAGTATGATTATCTTGTTATCACTATTAGTATTAGATAGGGAATAATTAGCAACCAAAACAAGTGAAAATTTATGTTTAGTTGAGCATGTAAAAACCAGAATGTCTATACATATCATAAGAGAAAAATCTTCCATCAAAAGAAGAAGAGGTGAATGTCACCCTGAGTTCCATGATATAGTAATGGCACTCGAGTGGCCTGTAAAAACTACTATGTCTTTCTGTGACATCTGAACCACAGACTAACTGAGGCATGGGGAGGGAAGAACCTGGCTTAGATTTCCTTTCACAATTTTACTATACTACAGTTAAAGACTGTATCACTGAAGAAATAAAGTATAATGAACTCTAAATTACTATTCTTTCCAAAAGCGGCAACTGTATAATCACAAAAGGAAAAAGGCACTGGAGGAAACTTTTTAATAAGAGTATATAGTGAGGAAAGAAGGAAATAAAAAAACTACTAAACAACAAGATTGCTAACTGACGCAAATTAGTTAAACACTGCATACTGTACAATCTCATACAAACACTTTGTTTTGATATTTTATGAAACATGTTCCTTATAAGCTACTATGACAGGAAATTACCTGTTCACTGTAATGTCTAATGACACTCCAAATGAGCTGATCCCTCTTGTAAAACTGATAGCGAATTTCATAATAAGCAAGTCTAGGAAAAGAAAAACATTCAAAGGGACTAAAATTATAACCTGAAAAAGGGGTACTTAATATTTCTTTAAAATATTAATCATAGCTAATTCTTTCACAATTAAATTTGCACATCTGCCTCAAACAATATAGAATTATACCCTAATATTTTGATAATAAAATTATTATAAACACAGGATATTCTCAGTAAGTCTTGCAGTAAGACTTATACAGTAAAAAGTTTTTAAGAAGTCATCCATAACCCCACCACCACCTAGTGGGTTTTTAAGTTTTTTCTTCTCATCGATTCTCACTTTGAATTTCTTCTTTTCTTTTCTATGCAATTTCAAAATATTTAAAACATATGGTATGTCACTTTTATATGCAATATTGTAGATAAGCATTTCTCCACGTTATTCAAAATTCTATCTAACCATTTTTAATGGTTGTACAGCATTCTATCATGTGGGTGTTTTCATAATGAACAATTCCTCTACTGTCAGACATTTCTAATTCTTGGAATAATAATTAATGTTTCCGTATGTGTCTTATGGTCTTTCATATTTCAAGAATAGTTTTTAGACTGAATACCCAAAAACAGAATTACCAAGTGAAAGACCGCCAAAATATTTAAGGCTTTTGACATATATCATTTTCCACTTATCCTAAGAATACAAAAAAAAGGGGGTGGGGGAGTGTCCATTTTTCAAACCCATTCTAGTAATAGAATTGTTTATATTTTTATATCTTTGATAACTTGCTTTAATTTCCATGTATTCTTTGATAACTAATAAAGTTGATTTTTTTAAAAAAATTATCTATTCACCACTTTTATCTTCTCTTTTGTGAATTATCTCTTACTGTCTTCTTGCCACTGTACTGTTCAAAATGCCAGCTCCAGGGGCTGGGTGAAAGTCTGTTATGCTTCAGGTTTGTTTTTTTTTTTTTTACTACTTTTTAATATAAGAACTATAAATTCTTCTCTGTCATACGCATCATTATATTTTCCTAGTTCTTTGTTTTATAAATGTCTTCAATGATTTTGTTATAAAGCGATTAATTTTAATGTGGCCAAATTTATTTTATATTTTCCACTGGAATTCTTTCCATTTCTTTTAAGCTTAGAAAGACTTCCTCTACTCAGAGATTTGATAATAATGAACTTTCTTCTTTTTTTCAGTCCTTCAATCACTCTGAAATTTAGTAGTTGTCAATTTAGATCATCTAAATGAAGTTATTTTCTCCCAACTACCTGTTCCAAAATTTAATAAACATTTATTAAATTTACAAGTTCCTGGCACATAGAAATATTCTCATAGTGAATACGGCAGTGAGTTCTTATTCTCTATACTTTACCATAGGACGCTACTGAAATCTCACTACCCTGTCACAATAGTTTCTCAATATAACTGTTTTAAAACACGATCAATTTATAATATACTAAAATAATTCAATTTCCCTTTGAAATTAGTGTATTCTTTTGAAATAGGTAATCAAAGAAAATACAAGAACTCTTTACCTTATCTTTATTAATAAAATTACACTCACGGGATATAATTAGAAAAAGACCAAACTCCCTAAGTATTATTAAGCTATCATTTTCCTAAACTAACATTCTAGCACCAAAGGAGAGAATGTCCAGAATTATGACCTTGGCACAAATACCTACAAATATGCTTAAACACAAATCTTACTTAAATATAAGATCATCCACATCAGTCAGAGTTGCACCTATGCTTTTCAATAGCAAGTTGACAGAAAGAATTGCAATCATTTCTTGTTTTTCTTTGTCTGATTCTTCACTTCCAGAACCCAAAGACAGACTCAAATGCAACTAAAAGAGAAAAATTTTCAATGAAAGAAATCTAAAAAAAGTTATACATGTAGAAATCAGATCTTCCAGATACAAATTTTAGGTCTTTCATTACAGTCCTAAAGAAAGGTATTAGGTGTCACTCTACACATTACATAAAAATCCACTCATATCTATTCTCATATCTACTTTTTCATAAAATACAAATTAGTCTGTTCCAAAAATAGAGGTTTATTTTACTAAAAGTGTATACATACACACATACCATTGTGTTCATAAAGAGAAAACTTTATAAAAACAGCATAATAGTTTTATGAAGAAAGACATTAACTGGCACATAGTCTGCCAGTCAAAATAACAGATAATCCTTGATTCTTATCCAATTAAGCTAAACCAGTTATGTTGTTGTTGTTGTTATGTGCTGTTGGGTTGGACCCGGTTCATAGTGACCCCTCCTTGGGTTTCCGAGGCAGTATCACTACAGAAGTAGATTGCCCCATCTTCCTTCTGAGGAGTGGCTGGTGAGTTTGAACCACCAGCCTTCTGGTTAGCAGTCAAGTGCCTTAGCCACTATGCTACCAGAGCTCCCCAGTTATGGCAACTATTAAATTGCCAAATAAATTTTGAAAACGAATAATTAGTTTTACATACACTTCTATCTCAGTACTTAAACATGAAAATCACACATTTCCATTTAGCTTCTGCTTCTTTATGTCGGACTATCATTAGTGCAACAGTAAACCAAAGCACAGGCAAAATGTAATGTGACATGTGGAAATTAAACACAGGATTCTGTCTCATTCTGTCATTCCCAAAACACAGTACCTAACAGAGTTCAAGTAGAGCAGACTTGGGACAAGGCCAGGAAAGCCTGCTTACTCTCTGATGTGGACTTCTGTCCACCTTCAGAGTCAGGGAGTGCTGGAACCCAAAAAAGGCAAGCTCAGGTGGACAGAGATCCAACTTCAACCTAGAGCCAAGTCACCATGGAATAAGAAAATAACTATGCTTCATAATATTCATTACTCAAGTTCATGGAATAATTCCTACGGTATTTAAGAACATGATTAGGTAAACTGCCAGTCATTAAAAGATCTTAGATAATTAGCTCCATGAAGCTATATTGTAGTTCCCACGGCAACTTTGATAGTAGCCATTAAGATATTTGTTGAAAGTACTATTCAATCTCATAAATATCAGATTTTCCCTTAGTAATGAAAAAGAAATGGTGTATAACTTACTATAATAAAACAATATCAATTTTAAATCTAACACTATGGATATGTCTGATGTCATAAATTTGATTTATCAATTTAAAATAATTCTATTTTATAAACCTATTCATTTATCTGAATTGGTTGGTGAACTCAAGTGAAATAATGTACCATAAAGTTTCTGAGAACGTAAAGGATCATCAATATTTTAAAAGTTACTTAATTGTAAATGTGGCCCATTACACAAGTTTAGACCATTACAGTTGGTAGCACTTGTGAATTCAATGAACAATCACCGTCCCCTTTAAAAGCTAAAAAGAACAAAAGGAGAAAAGAAAATGGGTTCATAAAGTACAAAATCAGGCAAGTGAAAGGTATCCAATTTTCCACTCTCTTAGCTACAATTAAATTTTGGAAGAGAGAGGAAAAACCACATCAACAGTATAATACCTACTTCAGCATTTTCACATTGTGACTAAGGCACCATTATAGCTTTCTGTTTAGACAGTGAAAGTAGTTACAGAGTGCAACCAAAACATTAAATGTTGGTGGGCACTTCTATGCTTAATTAAGAAATGCTTTTGTCAGCTTCTTCCTTGAACGAAGGGGTTATTAATTCAGGACCAGAGAAAATGCACTAGTGGTTTCTCTGTGGAAATTATGGCTGTACATGTTACATTTGTTGTTGTTGTTGTTATGTGCCATCAAGTTGGCCCTGACTCACAGTGACCCCTCATAGTATTGTCTTAATTATTTCAATTAATCAAAAAAAATTCTGCCAAATATTTGATGCAACAAATTAAAACCTACATATCTACACAGATTCTTTATAAGTTCCACAACAATTTTTCTAAATTTTAAAAATAATCATTACAACAAACCTTAATAGGAGAAATATGGAAATGTTCAAAGAAACTAAGAACTGACATATCAGTCATTGAAGTCTCCATTAATTCTGTGTTCAGAGCATCAATGTCTTGTTGGATTAACTTTGTCTGAAAAAAATTAAACCAAGAATTTCTATTTTAACTTTTCTCTTTATGACAGTTAAAAAAAAAAGCTGATTTAACTTTTTTTAATTTTATGACTCTGCCAAGAAATAAAAAATTGTTACCCGGTTGTTTTCAGCTTCAGGGTCAGTTGTTGGGGTAAACAATGCAACTATAGCTCCTAGAAACCCTTGATCAACTTTTAAGGCCATTTCCTGAATGAGGACCATAAAATACCTAAGGGGACAAAAAAAAAATCAAATAAAGGCAGGAAAAGGTGTTTATCAAACCTGATAATTTTCAATGTTACAACTTTGTTTTTGGCTAAAAGCCACAGTAATATGTAGTTCATTCATCTCTTTAAAAAACGTTATGCTAATAAAATTGAAGTCAATTTAGATTGAGACATATATTAAGTTTCAGTGGTAACATTGCTTATTACCACTTAACATATAAAGTCCAACATACCCACATTCATGATGTCACAGAAGAGACAAACACAACTGGATGATGGAGCATGTACCACCCAAATTTTAAAGTTTACAACAATTGCTTTAAAGAACAGAGCTCACCAACATATACAGCATTTATATTTCACTGTTTCATATTATAACTGGGTCTACAAAAAGGAGAAGGTAGTTGAAGGGATTTTATATTTTAAAATGTATTATTCTATTGTTGTGAGGTGTTGTTTGAGTTGTTTCCAACTCATAGTGACCCTATGTACAACAGAACAAAGTACTGTCTGGTCCTGTGCCAGCCTCACAATCATTGCTATGTTTGAGCCCATTGTTGCAGCCACTCTGTCAATTCATCTCACTGAGGGTCATCTTTTTTGCTGCAGCATGATGTCCTTCTCCAGGGATTAGTCCCTTGTGACAATATGACCAATGTACAAGAGACAGACTCTGGCTATTCTTGCTTCTAAGGAGCTTTCCAGCTGTACTTCCTTCAACACATATTTGTTTGTTCTTCTAGTAGTCAAGGGTTCATTCAATATTCTTCACCAACACCAAAATTCAAATGCATCAATTCTTCTATGATCTTCTTTATTCATTGTCTAGCTTCTCACATGCACATGAGGCTTCTGAAAGTACCATGGCTTGGGTCAGGGGCACCTTAAACATCAAAGTGACATCTATGCCCAATACAATACGACAGATGATTTTCTTAATTGCTGTTTCCATTGACATTGACTGTGGATCCAAGTAAAATGAAATCCTAGACAACTTCAATCTTTTCTCCATTTGTCACAATTTGCTTACAGATCCAGGTATAGGGATTTTTGTTTTCTTTACATTCAAGTGTCATATACTGATCTTCATCAATGTGCATTTCAAGTCCTCTTCACATTAAGCAAGCAAGGTTATGTAATCGGCATACTAATTGGTTAATGAGCCTTCCTCCAATCCTGATGCCATGTTCTTTTTCATATAATGCAGCTTCTTGGATTTCCAGTTCAACATACAGATTGAATAACTACAGTGAAAGGATACAACCTTAACAAACACCTTTCCTGATTTTAAATCACTCAGTATTTCCTTGTTCTGTTTGAATGACCATCTCTTGGTCTATGTACAGGTTCCCCGTGAGCACACTTAAGTGTTGTGGAATTTGCATTCTTCATAATGTTATCATAAATTGTTATGAATGACCCGAAAGACTATCTCTTTGTATAGTCAAGAAGACACGGTAAACCTTTTTGAGGTATTATCTGCTTTCAGCCAAGATCCATCTGGTAACAGCAATGATATCCCTTGTTCCATGTCCTCTTCCAAATCTGGCTGATTTTCTGGCTGTTTCTGTTGATGTATTGCTACAAATATTTTTCAGTTATCTTCAGCAAAATATTTCTTACTTATAATATTAATGATATTATTTGACAATTTCTGCAGTCTGTTGGATCACCTTTTTCTAGATGGGCATGAATGTGGATTTCTTCCAGTCAGCCAGCCAGGTAGCTATTTTCCAAACTTCTTGGCACAGATGAGTGACCACCTCTAATACTGTATCCATTTGTTGAAACATCTCCATGGGTACGCCATCAATTTCCGGAGCCTTGTTTTTCTGCCAATGCCTTCAGTGAAGGTCAGACTCCTTCCTTCAGTACTATCATATTAAACCATCAATACCATCAGTTCTTGATCATATGCTACCTCTTGAAATGGTTAAGTGTTGACCAAGTCTTTTTAGTACAGTGACTCTGTGTTACATCTTCTTTTGATGCTTCCTGTGTCATTTTACATTTTGCCCATAAAAGCCTTCAATATTGCAATTTGAGGCTTGAACATTTTCTTCAGTTTTTTCTGCTTCAGAAATATTGAGTGTGTTCTTCTCTTTTAGTTTTCTAACTCCAGGTCTTTGCACATTTCACTATAACACTTTACTTCGTCTTCTTGAACTGCCCTTTGAAATCTTCTGTTCAGTTCATTTATTAAATTAAGTTTCAAGATAAAAATTACCTGATCAACAGTAGATTAATACACTCAGGTAGAAAATAATTTTATGTAAAAGTCACTTTCTCAAAGAGTAAAATTTATTTTCAAAGTAGAGTCTCACTTTAAATTCCCTTAGATAAACAAGGGTAGTTTTACTTACTTAAACTGTAAGACTTTACTGTACTCATTAAATCTTGTTATAACACTCACATCAATGAAAGGTTTGGGCTCTAAGAGGAAAAAAACAAGAAAAACCCAATAAAACTTTATACTAGACCAAAAAAATGTTTACTTAAATTTTATAATAGGGTATATCTCAACTTAATTTTCTTTTTTTACCTGAATCTAAAGCAATAGATTTTGGAGGGGCCACAGGATGAAATACAACAGGGAACATTGTACCTGGTAACTGATTATCAACCTGAAAAAAAAAGAAAAACCAACACAGCAGATTTAACCTTTTGGTTGCAGAGACAATATTTTAGAAGAAGCCACTAATTTCATCATAATTAAGTATGTGTGCATATATGTGGTGCTATTGGAAGTTTGGCCCCGAGTTACCCTTCAAGCCTGGAAATGGACTCACTTCTGTGGATTAGCTCTCAGACCAACAGTAGAAAGACCTACAACAAGAGCACCTACCCCAGGGAGATGTAACCATGCATCCTAGGGAGATGTACACCTTATAGCAATCAACCATGAGACATCAAAGGGGCAGCATTCACACAGAGGCAAAGCTGGGCAGACAGGAATGCATAGATAAGAAGGGTATAGGGGAGGAGTAGTCACAGGGAGGAGAGGGGAGGACAGCTTTTTATGGTTGGGGATTTTAATGAGGGCTGTGAAAGCAAATGTGCATGAATTGTTGAGACTAAAATGAATCTGCTTTACAAATCTGTACCCAAATCACAGTAAAAAATTAAAAAAAAAAAAAAAGCTTCACTTTAAATCTGTAAAACTTTATTTATCTCAGTAAGGCCAAGCTTGTATATAACAGAATACACAAAATACCCTCATAATTGCATTAACCCTGTGCAGAATGTATACCATTAATGGAAATATTTGTACCTAGGATCATGAGTTTTCAACTCTCTATAATTTAAATAAAGTTTAAACAAAAACGAGTATGAAATTTTAAGGGAAGTAGAAAGAAGAAAAATATATCCTAAATACTACTGAAAAGTTTAAATGCAGGAGGGAAGGGACAAAGGAAAGTAATATCCCAAAACAAGCTTCAATAAAGCCCTGCTCCTTCCCTTGAAGAATGACAAAGAAAAATCTTATTTTGGAGTTCTGTGACAAACTCAAAGGAATATTAAAAATCATAGTTTCAGTACACAAGAAAATACTCTTGCTGGCTAACTGGTCAGGTTAAAGGACTTTGGACTTGAACTAAAATGTAGAATTCACAGAATACATCAGAGAAGGGGAAGAAAATATATTAATGAAAAGATTCTAACTAAAATGTATTTTATAAGCCTGTAAAAAGAAATTTCATCCCCAAGATTGCCAAAATAATTAGATACATCTATTTAATTGAGGATGACAGCGTTACCTGGAGCCAGTACAACCTGGCCCTTAAACTTCTCTGGTGAGGAGACTGCTTTAGTTCAATCTGAATTCCTGATAAAAAATCTCGTTTAATTGGGCACCGAATAGGGAAGCGCATTTCCATTGGGACTTTGTCAAAATTCACCTGGAATGAAAAAGCACGTTTTTGTAATGAATTGGTACTAGCAGTGTAGTTACACCATTTTAAATATCTCTATACCTATGAAACCGAAAGGGAAAAATATCTTTATATCTCAACAAAAGATGTTCCCTAAGGTGCTCTACAGTTGAGATCACTGAAGCAGCCTCCATCACTCTTCTACCAAAGTTATGAGGGAAACATTTCAATTGAGAAATAAATACACTTCATATTCTTAAAATAAACTTCAATAATAGACAATCCTTAAATAAATTTTGTTTTATGATGGTGAATAGGGTCATCATAAGTTGGAATTGACTTGATGGCACACAACAAAAACAACAGTCGTTTATTTGTATCTGACACTAACTGTGCAGGGTTTTGTTTTGCTTTGCTTTTTTCATATGAGCATGGCCAACATTTATGGGGATGGGGAGCAAATCTGGTGACCAGATATCAAAGATAGAGAGTAACTAAAACTGTTATGACTGACCCAGAGCAAGCTAGCAATTGCAGTCAAACTTCTGGGACCTTCTTAAAGCAAAGGTTATTTTTAGCTTCAGTTTGTAAGGGTCCATACAGGGCATACTTTTACTTTGTGGACACCTACTTATGTACAATAATCATTCACACTTAACAAATTTAATTGAGCTGGGTTTGTATAGGTTTTTCATCATCGAAATATGTAATTTTACACAGTATTTATTTAGCAATATACTACACTGATACGATTCAAAATATAAGAGAAAAAGTTATAATAGTAACCTTAATTTCTCCATAAACTTATACAAAACAAAACAAATTTCATGAAACTATCTGACTTGTATACAGAACCAATTGTAAGAATACAGAAAAGAAACAGGTTCAAGTTCTTTTTCACAGGTCATGACTTAATAACAATGTAATGTATTTTAGGGAGCTTTGGTAGCATAGTGCCTAAGGCACCTGACTGCTAACCAGAAGGCTGGCGGTTCAAACCCACCAGCCACTCCTTGGAAGGAAGGTTGGGCAATCTACTTCCATAGTGATACTGCCTTGGCAGCCAAAGGAGGGGTCACTGTGAGTTGGGTCGGACTCAACGGCACATAACAACACAACACAACAACAATGTATTTAAATTAAAAATGTGCTAATCATTCCAATCCTATTAATAATGTATTTACTAATAAATTAGTTTCTGTATACAGAATTTACTTAGACAATAAAATTTTACTTCTTCACTAAGACCATCAGCACTACTCAAACACACCTCAAAGCTAAAACAAATTTTGGCGTACCTCAAAATTATTGTCTAGTTTAATCCAGCCATGATCTCCTGATACCTGGTATTTCTGATAGGCTTGTTCCAACAATATTATTTGCTTTTGACTAAAAGGCTTCCATTTTTGTTTTGGCTTCATCTCCCAAACAACACCAGAACTAAAACAATTCACAAAAAATTATATTAGGAATACATATTTAGGATTATGGAACTGTCATTCAACCCCAAAGTGCTGCAAAAGTATGCAAGAAAAGGGGGCAGAGGAAAATGTTTCTCTATCACACAGCTGACATCAATTAGTAAAGGGTTGGCAAACTTTTTCTGAAAAGGTACATATATTAAATATTTTAGGTTTTGAAGGCTAGGAGGTAAATCATGGTTATTATGTAGGCACTTCTATAACAAGAAAAGAGCTCTCAAACCCACCAGCCACCCTGTGGAATAAAGATGGAGTAATCTATTTCCCTAACGATTTACAGCCTTGGAAACCCAATGGGGATCACTGTGAGTCACAACTGATTTGATGGCTGTGGGTTTGTGTTTTTATAATAAGAAAGAAAACAAACCCTTCATAAATTTTTTTTACTGACAAAGTTCAAAATATAAATAATTGAGTACAATTCTTTTAAAAAAATAGTTCTAATAATAATAATAAAAAATAAGTATCTTCTGTGGAGGAGTAAGTAACATTTCACTTAAATTAATTTTCCCTATTATCAAAATCGATCACAAATGGTCATGTCAATGCTGATTGGTAATGATCTGTAATAAGCATCTTTAAAAACACCTTTTCACAGATTTTAAAAAACAAATAAATAAAAATTCCAAACCCACTGTTAACTCAATTCCAACTCATAGTGATCCCATGTGTTACAGAATAGAACTGCTCCATATGGTTGTCTTGTAGGTACTGTCAAATATTAATAGCAATCCATAAGTATATTTTTAAATGGAGATATTCATTGTTTGAAAGTCATTTATAGAATTCTATTAGATTCTTTTCTTGATATTTGCTTTTTTATAGCAAGTTAATACACTGTAGACCAGTCACTTCCAAATGAAGGTTGGATGGAAGCTCCTTACTTGCACAGCTGAGAATTTTGAAATGTGGAAGTTTCCTTTACATGTGTATCAAGGTCAGAAATAATGTTACTAGAACAGTAGCTGCAGGTAAGAAAATATATCCACTGCATATTTGTGTGGGAATCTTGCTTCTTCTTGTTTTAACTTTGGATAGAACAGGAAGTATAGAAAACAGCTCGACATTACTTGTGATTAAAACAATGTTAGTTTCATTGAAATGACTTTAATGAAATCAACTATACGAGATTGCTAGGGCAACTTTTGCCCAAAACCAAAGATGAAGACAGGCAGGGACAGGGAACTGGACGAGGAACCCAGGGAGGATATAAGGAGAGTGCTGACACGTTGTGGGAATTGGATCTAATGTCACAGAACAACTTGTGTATGAACTACTGATTGGGAAAAGTAATTTGCTATGTAAACTTTCACCTAAAGCACAATAAAGCATTAAAAAAAATTAAAAATTCATAGAACTGATGATAGTGTAGTCCACAAGAGTGAATGAAGTTCACTGTTTGACATTACTAATTTGACATCTGATAACTTAAAATATTTTCCACAAAGTATCTGCTGATGAATACCATGAATAAGCTTTAAATACCTTATTTATTATTTTCACAAGCTTTGTGAATCTGTCCAACTAAACCTTTTTCTGCTCAACACGTATCTTTTTCATCATCAGCTGTAACATATCTTAGAAGATTCTACCTCAAAACACAAAAATGACCGGAATCACTGGCCAGATAGAGACTGGCGGAACCCCCGAGACTATGGCCCTGGGTTACCCTTCGGGCCTGGAAATGAGTGGATTAGCTCTCAGCCCAACAGTAGAAACACCTACAAGCAGAACACCTACCCCAGGGAGATGCACCCACCTACCCTAGGGAGAAGAACCAGTTAGAGCAATCAACCATGAGACATCAGAAGGGCAGCATTTGCTTAGAGGGAAACCTGGACAGACAGGAAAGCACAGATAAAAAGGGCTCAGGGAAGTCATAATCCAAGGAAACAGGTGGGAAGAGAGCTTTTTATGATTGGGGATTGTAATTGGGGTGTGAAACCAATTGTGCGTGAACTGTTGTGTGTAAAATGAATCTGCTTTGTAAATCTGCACCCACATCACAATAATAAATTAAAAAAAAAGAAAACTCCACTTCAGTGTGTACTGTTTCTCCAACTTGTCCTAAAATATTCTCCCCTGTAGTTGTTCCATGCAGACTATACATAAAGGTTAATTCTTCAAATTCAGCACTGAAACTCAGATACATAATTGAGCATTATTGGTAACATCTGTTGACTCAAGAGTCAAGGAAAACCACTGGAAATCATTTCCCTTGTTTTTTAATTGACTACTGTTCAAGCAACTGTTCTTTCTGAAAAGCTAATGATCTTAAACAAGTTTATTTTCTCTGGACTCATTTCTTCAGCTGCTGCAATCAGTAATGATTCAACTAACTTACCATTGGGAAAAGGCGTTCCTTGCTTGGCTAACAAATGAGTCACTCAGAAACTTACTTTGGTTGCAGCCTCATTTTCGTGTGTGTGTGTGTGTGTGTGTGTGTGTTTGAGTGTGTGTGTGTGAAGAAATTCTGCTGTGATAAGATATTCTACTTTAAATATTCTAATATTTTTTCTGGCCATAGCTTTCCCTTATGTTGGGAATATTGTGATGAGTGCTTAGTGTGGTAATGTCCATACATATTGTATTCTGTTAGAAAATAGTCCCTGGATGGGACAAACAGTTTGAGCTTGACTACTAACCTAAAGGTTTGTGATTCAAACCCACTCAACAGCAACACAAAAGGCAGGCTTGGTAATCTGCTTTTGTAAAGATTACAGCCAACAAAATCTTATGGTTTTACTCCAAAACACAGGGTCACCATGAGTTGGAATCTATTTGACAGCAACAAGTTTGGTTTTTTCATTCATTCTTAGCATGGCTATCATGTCAATATATAATAAGCATAATACTTTGCCATTTAATTTCATACCAAGATAATCTGCATGCCACTGTTCCTTAAAAGAGTGACATTCAAAATATATGTTTCTGGTTTTGACATGATGGGTATGCTTTAAAAAAAAAAAAAACTCATTGCCGTAGAGTTGCATCTGACTTATAGTGACCCGTCCTTGGGTTTCTGAGGCAGTATCACCACAGAAGTAGATTGCCCAGCCTTCCTTCCAAGGCCAGCCTTCCTTCCAAGGAGTGACTGGTGGGTTTAGTAATGAAAAATAAATGTCGTGGTACAGTGTTACTCATAGCATTCAAAACACTGCCAAGTTATAACTGTGTAACTGTGATTTGTAGCGTACTAAGCAGTAATGCAAAAACAGCCAGCGATGTTTAAAAGAATGAGCATGGCTGTATTTCAATAAAAATTTATTTAAGGGTACTGAAATTTGAGTTTTCAGGTGTTATAAAATATTACATTTCTTTTGATTTTTTTCTAACCACATAAAAATGTAAATACAGGTTGTTGTTATTTGCCATCAAGTTAGACCCAACTCATAGTGACCCCTCCTTCGGCTTCCCAGGTGGTATCACTACAGAAGTAGATTGCCCAACCTTCCTGCCAAGGAGTGGCTGGTGGGGTTGAACTACCAGCCTTCTGGTTTGCAGTCAAGTGCCTTAGGTACTACGTTACCAGAGCTAGGCTACCAACGAGCTATATTCCTAAGTGTGTCTTTAAGTGGAATTTGTAGGTAAGTTGGAACAGGTACACACAGTTCTTATTTAGCCTTAGTTCAATGCAAGAAGAGGCTCAAAGGCTTTTCAATGATTTAAAAACTGCAAGAGCAGCAACTGAAGACGATTGTGATGAATATTTTGTTGCAAGTAGGGGTTGGTTCATTTGTTTCAAAGTGAGGCCATACTTTAACGTTAAAGGACAACTAGGAATTGTTCCTAAGTCAGACATTGGAAACCCAAGGACTACCTACCATTCTTAGCGCAGTAGCCATACAAAAACAAGTAGAAAGCTAGATTGGATTCATTCTACTCATCAGCCTTCAAAAAAGAATGAGTCTTTCATTAAATTTAGTTATTTTAAAAAGTCAAAATAGATGAATTGAAATATTTTCTTACAGAGGGATAAACAGAACCAGAAAAAACAAACAGTCCCATCACTATTACAATATTCTAAATGACCACTCATTAAATATTATATGACCATGTCAATAATTGCTTCCTCTAATGATGCTGTGAACCTCTCCCCCACCCACCCCATTTATGTCTGTTGGCTTCTCCTGGCCCGTTCCAGTTACCCACCTTCCACAAGGTGAGCTGCTTCTACCTCTGTATTTCCACTGCACCATGTACAATGTCCATGTAGTATTTCTCAATGTTTTTATAATTTCATCAAAATACATATACACACACACAAACAACAAAGAAAGAAACAAACTTCTATTTCTCCAACTGTCAGTGAGTATTGTGAATGTAAAGACAGTTCCTTAGTCATCTTTCATCTTTGGAGCTTTTTAACTAGCAGTGCTAACAACTGTTCTATATGTTTTGCAGACTGAATGTATAAGACCCGCAGTCCCTAGGTGATGAACGTCCAACTTAGGAACAACTCCTACTTGCCCTTTAATGTTATATAAATTTTCCCTCACTTTCAAAAAACTGAAACAACCCTTACCAGCAACAAATTCTTCATCACAATCACCTTCACTTGCTGACATTTAGCTTTTCAATAATGGAAAAGACTTCCAGCCTTTTCTTGCACTGAAGACTAAATAAGAAGCATATCCTCCTGTTTCCACTCACCTACAAATTCCTCTTAAATATTTAAAGACACATTCATAACCCAGGGACTACCTATGTATCACATTCTGTTTACTCTCATCAAATTGGATATTATCAACTCAAATGCCTTTAAAAGATTTTTGCTTTTTTCTTCCTTCTCCCATACCTGGTTATCCCAATGTATGAAACTTCCTGCTTGTTGTCATTGTTAACCAGTGAAAGCCCAAGACTGTGGAGAGACAAGCATATTTCATGATCAGCTTGCTCCATTTCTTCTGCCTGCCGTGCTTTGGAAACCAAGGCCACATCATCAGTGAAAAGCAAAACTCTCTGGCGGCCATCTAGGAATGATACCCAGTGTATTTGGATATTTGCATCATATGGAAACTGTCCACATTCATCCTGGGGGAGAGGGAAAGACTTCATTAATCTCACAAGTTTTTATTACATAAAGTTGAAATACAGACAGAAAGATTAGAAAAGCCGAAGAGATATAACAATAACTAGATAACTAATATCAAAGTGACACAAATTAAGTATAACTATAATCTACTTAAAAACATAACCATTTTTTTTCAAACAATAACAAAGATTAATAGTGTTCAATTTTTTTATACCATAGTTTGAGTCTCCTAATTAGTGCTCAGAGGGCATTTAGCGGCAACAAGAATATCCTTCAAAGGCACCAATGCCATAAGATGCTTACTCGTCTCCAAGCTGGAGAACAGAATGATTTAGAAGTTAACTAGAAACACAACTTCAGGCAAAACTTGTCTAGTTTACTTTTATGTTTTAGTAATTTACAAAATAGCAAATATTTATATAAATCATGTTACCAAATATGCAAATTACAATCAGTTTGCACTAAGATTCACTAATAATCCTCTCGGCTATAGGTTTCCCGTCCAAAAAACCAAATCAAACTCAATGCCATTGAGTCAATTCTGATGCAGAGAGACCTCCACTGGGTTTCCAAGGCTATAAATCTTTACAAGAGCAGATTGTCTCATCTTTCTTCCACAGAGCAGCTGATGGGTTTGAACTATTCACCTACTGGTTAGCAGCCAAATATACTTAACTGCTACACCATCAGAGCTCTTTACAGGTTTCCTACAGAACTTACAAATTTGAGGCTTGATTTGGTCAGTGTTTTCAGAGATTAAGACTAACAGTTACTGTTCATTCTGGGCTCAGCACAAATATAGCAACATTTAAAATTACAGTAATAATAATAATAATAATAATAAAACTCACTGCTGTCAAGTTGATTCAACTCACGGTGACTCCTCCTTGGGTTTCCAAGGTAGTACTGCTACATAAATAGATTGCTCAATCTTCCTTCCAAGAAGTAGCTGGTGGGTTTGAACTGCCAGACTTTTTCTGGTTAGCAGTCAAATGCCTTAAGCACTATGCCACCAGAGCATAATAATAATTAAAAAAAAGAAACAAACTCACTGCCATTGAGTCAATTCTAACTGGCAGTACAAGTGCCTACTATGTGCTAGATACCAAACTAAATGCTGAGACTGAAAACATACATATATATATGAGACGTGGTCTTGCCCTTAAGACTTTTACATTAATCTACAGACATGAAATAGAAGACTCTGAAAAAATTAGTCACAGAAGAAACAAGTGGAAGAAACTAAGATGTTTTATACTTAAGCAAAGATTAAAGGCAGGCATTCTCTCTAATAACACTGAAGAATTGTCAAATAAAAGACACTACAAAAGTGAGGGCAAACATATAAGGCAAGAAAGGGAAATCAAAGGCATCCAAATTGGTAAGGAAGAAGTCAAACTATGTCTATTTGCTGATGATATGATCCTATACCTAGAAAACTCAAAAGACTCAGTCAAAAATCTACTAGAACTAATTGAGAGATTTAGCATCATGGCAGCATACAAGATCAACATCCAAAAATCAGCTGGATTACTCTACACCAGCTAAGAGATTGCTGAAAAAGAAATAAGGAAATCAGTATCATTTACAATAGCTACCCCCCAAAATAAAATACTTGGGAATAAATCTTACCAGGGACACAAAAGACCTGCACAAAGAAAACTATAAAAAACTACTTCAAGAAACCATAAGAGATCTATATAAATGGAAGAACATCCCATGCTTGTGGATAGGAACACTGAACATTGTGAAAATGTCAATTCTATCCAAAGGAATCTATACATTGAATGCAATCCCAATTCAGACCCCATCAACATTTTTTAAGGATATAGAAAAACCAATTTTTAAGGATATAGAAAAACCAATCACTAACTTTACATGGAAAGAAAAGAGACCTTGGATAAGCAAAGCACCACTGAAGAAGAACAACAAAGGAGGAAGTCTCACACTGCCCGATCTCAAAACCTACTATACAGCCACAGTAGTCAAAACTGCCTAGTATTGGTACAACAACAGACACATAGACCAATGGAATAGAACTGAGAACTCAGAACTAGATCCAATGACCTATGGTAGTAAGCTGATCTTTGAAAAAGGGCCTAAATCCATTAAATGGGGAAGACAATGTTTGTTTAATAAATG